AAAAAGTTAGCATGAGAAATAAATAATTCCTTGACATGAATTGTCAGATTATATGATGAATCAGAATCACAAAAATGTTTAAATCCATGGTTTTAATCCTCATACTTTCTCAACAAAACAAGGGTAATCCGCCATCTTGATTATCCTATTGCTCATGCGCACAGGTGGGAAAGTAACGTCACGTGACAGGAGTTGTCTTTTCCTGAATAATTGGAATAGGCAGTTTAAAGGGGCGTGGACCTTGATGAATTAATACAATACATATTTCGTCACGCCCAACTAGGATATAAATAGCTAAAATGCAAAAAGCTATTTATAGAACTGATTATGATTCATACTAAGTTGCATATCGTTTTGCAATCAACCTAAATTTCTCTTTAATAAAATGCTTAAACCCAATAAAAAAAGGGGATCTGTATCAAATTGGGGCTGGCAAATAAGATGACATTATTAACTTTTGAACATTATTGGGTTTGTATTAGTCCCCTTCAATTTCTTCCACTAACAGCTGAGAGGTTGTGGTAAATAAATCAGGGCAAGTAATCTTATGGAAAAGGTAACATGAGCAATATGGGAATTTTTTACTACCTTGTTCAGATTTTAACTGTCAAGGGATTTTAAAGATGCTCACATTCAAACTTGACATCTAGCCAACATGAAACTATTTACTCCACGGTCAGCACAGGGGATTCCCAATATCTCACCTAGAAATATAACAACTCCAGTCAGCACAGGGGGTTCCCAATATCTCACCAAGAAATATAACAACCCCAGTCAGATCAGGGGGTTCCCAATATTTCACCCAGCAATATAACAACCCGAGTCAGCACGGGGGATTCCCAATATCTCTCCCAGAAATATAACAACCCCAGTCAGCACAGGGGGTTCCCAATATCTCACCTAGAAAAATAACAACCCGAGTCAGCACAGGGGATTCCCAATATCTCATCTAGAAATATAACAACCCCAGTCAGCACAGGGGGTTCCCAATATCTAACCCAGAAATATACCAACCCCGAGTCAAATCAGGGGGTTCCCCAATATTTCACCCAGCAATATAACAACCCGAGTCAGCACGGGGGATTCCCAATATCTCACCCAGAAATATAACAACCCGAGTAAGCACAGGGGGTTTCCAATATCTCATCTAGAAATATAACAACCCCAGTCAGCACAGGGGGTTCCTAATATCTAACCCAGAAATATACCAACCCCGAGTTAGATCAGGGGGTTCCCAATATTTCACCCAGCAATATAACAACCCCAGTCAGCATAGAGGGTTACCAAAATTTCTCCCAGAAAAATAACAACCAGAGTCAACACAGGGGGTTCCCAATATTTCACCCAGAAAAATAACAACCCGAGCCAGCACAGGGGATTCCCAATATCTCACCCAGAAATATAACAATCCGAGTCAACACAGGGGGTTCCAAATATTTCACCTAGAAATATAACAACCGATCAGTGATAGCACTATTTTTATTATTTTATAAAAAATCACATGGTATTTGTCAGGCCAAGATAGCTGTGTACATCCAGGCGCGGTGTAAAGTTTAAACAGTTCACTTTTTATTTTGAGATTGATAAATGAAACTAAACTAAAACATGAAGAGTTCACTTTAGTTTAAGGTACTGTAAATAGTTAAGAACATGAAACAGGTTTGGATTCGAAAGTTTAATTCAATATCTTTTATACCTCTTTTTTACTGGTCATTTAAGTAGTAATGAACAAAACAAAAGTTTGGTTTGTGTAGTTACAATTACTATTTCTTTAACACAAAATTAAACTGGACATGAATTATCTCATTTGTAGCTTGGTTAGTTTAGTAATGAACAAGACACAAGTTTCATTTGTTTATTACTAAATACAGTCCTCATGTTTGGCTTGTGTAGTTTCTATTATCAATCATTCTACATCTTATTAAAGTGAACTGTCAAAGTCTGAATCTATCGTCTTCAGATGAGAAGTAATATCTTGGCCCGACTGTAAT